AGTGGTCGCCCCAGCTCTCGCCTTAGCCTTGGCCTTGCCCTTGCCCTTAGCCGTAGCCTTAGCCGTGGGCTTAGCTGTTGCCTGCGGCGTAGCCGCAGCCTCAGGCCCCCCCTCGGCCTTGGCCGCGGGTGCACCGCCTCCCTCCTCGCGGGCCTGCTTGCCTGCGTCGGTGGAGTCGTCGATCTCGCCCTCGGTATACTCCAGCATCATATGGCTCCAGCGCTGGTCGAACTCCTCCTCGAACTCGAACCGAAGGGCGGGGAACTCGATGAGCCCCGACTGCACGTGACGAATGTACCAGGGCGGGCCCATAAGCATGCACTTGTTGGAGACATTGGTCGCGCCGACGATCGCCGACGCACACTTCCACCCTCCGTAAGCAAGCGCGATTGCCCCGAATGGCTTGTACTCCCCCTTCGCGCGGTCGATGCGCCTCCACGTCTTCGTGTGCACTTTCTCCTCCTTGAGTTTCTTGGGCCGAAGCTTCGCCCAGTTGGCTCTGAACTTTGCGGCCTCATCTCGGTTGTGGATGCTGTGGTAGGAGTCGCCCTTGTCGGTGCCCTTCCTGTGTTCCGCGCGGAACTGGGAAGCAAGGTACGACGTGGGGCCCCATTCTCCCGTTGTCCCCATCTTCTGCAGCTCGTCCAGTTGCTTCCGAACTTTGGGGGGCAGAGAGTCTAGCATGGTCTTCTCTTCCTTCGAATGCTTGTCAGCAAGCTTGCCGAACGCAACCTCCAATCCTTTAGTAGTCTCCTCGGCCATCGCTCCGCCGATCTGCCTTGCGAAGAAGTCGGCTGAACGATTGTGCTGAGCTGCCTCCACCAAGGCTGCGTGCTCGATGGCATTGCGCGGGGGGGCGACGCCGACTGGGCCGGCGGATCCCGACGAGATCGGCTCTTCGGCCCCAGGTTCACGGATGATCTTGCCCTCAGGGGTGCGATACGTGTAGTTTTGTTGTTGGCTGTAGCTCAGGCCCATAATGTTGTCTGGGAAGGTGGCCTGCCCGTGCGCAGTGTCATCAGCTCTGGCAAACTTTGCGAGGGCGTCATCATTGGGGTCAGGCAACTCTCGCTTCACCTGCTGCGAAGTGATCGCCTGAGGCTCGGGCTCATCTGCTTTCGCCTCGCGCGGGGGAACGGGCGGCACAGGCTCGGGTGGCGAGAAATCTCCTTGGAGCGACATCGGAGTCGCTTCGACACAACTGCTCGGACAAAAAAGCGACTCGATCCAAAAGGTTTACGGCTTGATGATTGATAATGGTGTTGTTGTTAATGTCGGTGTTGATGACAGTGTTGATGTTGATGTTGCTGTCATTGGTTGCTCTGTGTATTGGGTGGTTGCTTGATAGCTATGCTATGCTATCCTGTGCTACGCTGTGCTCTGCTGTGTTGTGCAATGCAGGTGATGTCTGTGCAAAGACGTGTTGTCTGGATCTTCTCTGCTACATTGTTCTTCGGGCACGAGGGTAACCGATGGGGCAGGGCGAGGCCGATGCGGGTGCTATATTTGTCCGAGGGCAAGGATCGCATGGAGAGGTGTGCGCTGCCCCCTCCTACTCCTCCTCCACATCCCCCCCCCCACCCCCCCCCCCCCCCCCCCCCCCCCCCCCCCCCCCCCCCCCTCCTCCTCATCCTTCTCCTCCTCCTCATCCCCTTCCTGTCCCCCTTCCGTTCTCTCTCCTCCTCTTCCTCTTCCTCCTCCTCATCCTCCTCCCCCTCCTCCCCCTCGTCCTCCTTCTCTTCCTTCTCCTCCTCTTCCTCCTCCTCCTCATCCTCGCCCTTCTCCTCCTCCGACGTCCTGCATCCCCTCCTCGTCCTCGCTCTCGTCTGCTATCCTCCCGCTGCTCCGTTCTCACTTCTCTCGGTGCTGCAGGGGCGACGGCGCGGGGCGCGCTGCGCCTCGCCTCCCAGCGGGCGGGCCAAGGTCACGGAGATGGTGACGTGGGCCTCGTAAGCGCTCCTAAGTCAGGCCTTGTCCCTGGGGCTCGCGCGCGACCCCCTTCCCCCGCTGCAGCCGGCCCAGTCGGAACTCGGGGCTGCTATCTAAACCGTTTCATGGCAGTGCCGACGGAAACAACGGAGGGGGTTGCATTGGCATCGACAGCGGCAGCGTCAGCAGCAAGAGCAGGACGAGAAGACGCAGTGGACGTGGGGGAGGGGGGGGGAGGATTGTGGACGAGGACGTCGGGGGGCAAGTTGGCGAGGCAGTCGAGGGAGGCGGGCTACGGATTCAGGAGAACAGAACAAGGAAGCGGAGCAGGAGGAGCGGGAGGAGGAGAAGAGAGATAGGTGAAAAGGTGGCGGGGAGAGGAATGAAGAGGATGCGCGCTCTGTTTTTATCATGGCTATCGCGACTGCCCTGACCAGGACACCGAAGACTCAAGTAAAACAGCTTTGAATGGCATGGCATCTAGTCCGCATCGAGAAGATCCACCACGGACTCCATCGGCAAAGGCATTGCGAACTGGGACCGCGGCACTGCCGTGCTACCGCCGCCCTCATGCACAGAGCTCGGAGAAGCTGCTGGCGAAGAGGCCTTGACCGACTGACCACCAGAGGACTTCGACTTTTTCTTGTTCGGCTCGGCCTCGCTGCTGGCAGGGTTCGGCTCTGTGGGGGTGGCTGCCGCGGGCCTCTTGGGCACTGGATCGGGAGTCGATGCTGAACGCTTCGACCTCGCACCTGCACGTGTGAACTGGAACCGAGGCCCTTCTTGATGAGGGCTGCGTCGCGAGCCTCCTTCAGCTGCGCACTCGTCGTGAGATTGCCAATGGCGAAGCTCTTTGCGATCGGTATCAGCAGCGCGAGGGCTCCCAAGCAGGCAGGGTGATCCTTTGGAACTTGGCGGCTCTGATCTTCAATCGGGGCGAATCTGTCCACCCTGACCTGGCATTTCTGCCTCCCCTGTTCGTAAATGCTCATGAGTAGGTTTCGATCCACGCGCTGGGCGATGGTAACCCTGTGCTTGGTGTCGACCTGCTCCATCTCCCAGGGGTCGCCTACTGACGAGCCTTTCCCGCCTGAGCGCTGCGTCGAACGGATCTGCTCATAAGTCATGTCTGGAATAGCATGCTTGCGCCCATCCGGCCATTCAGCAACAACGAGCGCCAGATTCTTCGCACCCTCGGGGATGGTGATCGGGAGGCCCGCCTCCTTCCTGTTCGTGCGGGGGTCGAGCCGATATGGTAACATCAGTTCACGGCCCCATCCATATTCAAAAGTAGCTGCATCAGCTTTGGCAGGCTTTTTGGAAACGTGCTGCGGCGATGTGCAAATGACCTTTCCATCGTTCGAGGCGTCTTCGAACTCCGCCTCATCAATCTCTTGATCAGGATCAGCTTGAGGTTCTTCTTCTGCTCCAGCTTCTTCTCCTTCATCACCCTCAGGCTCCTCCAGTGCCCCCCTGCCCATGGGGGGCCCATGGCCCATTTAGCCGTCTGCGACTTCAGCTCGCCCTGGGAAACGCACCTGCACATGTTGCGGATCCTGCGGGGGATGATTTTAGACCAATCGTCTCGCTCCACCTTTGTCATAGACCACCCAGGCTCTCTCTTGATGTCCTTGTGTTCGACCAGCTTTTTGAGGGCAGCCTTGATGGTCGATGCATTGAATGTGAGACCCTGCTTGATCGCACGGAGCGACGACAAGAGCTCATGGTGCCCATTGCCGCCCTCGGGACCGTTCACGATCAACTTCGCCTCTGAAACTTTATCTGCATCACATCCGTACTTGCAAAATGCAGGGCCGTACTTCACACCAAACTTCAAGAAACACGCAAGCAATTGATCAACCTCTGTGTCATCGGTGTCATCTTTAGACATTGTGGACTACGAATACCTGCCTGACAATCTGGTTTGAGCCACAACGGCTATGGAATACGACTGACATGACATCAAAAACGAACAATTCTGCATTGCGAGGTGAGAATATCATCTTCGCAGCTGGCTCACGTAGAACCTTATGCTGCTGGAGAACCCCTGCATGGAAACGCTCAGAAAACAATGGGTTCGGGACAAAACGCCGATGCCCTTCTGGATTCCCAGGGGGGCCGAAGGTGGAGGTGGATGCGGTTGGAGGGGTGGAGTTGGAGGAGAGGAGGATGATATGTATGTGTATACAGATAGTTAGTTGTATATACACACATATATACATACAAACATACATACATACATACATACATACATACATACATACATACATATATATGTATATATATACATATATATGTTTATATATATGTATATGTAGGCGGCAAACGTGGGAGGTGGAGGATGTTTTTTTTTGACGGGAAAATGTTGCGATGTCAACGGCTGCGCGCGCATAAACGTGCGCGACGAGGCTTCATACACGATCCATCGCGTGTCTCCAAAAGAGATAACATGCGCACTGCGCAACAAACAACCGTGGGCCAATAGAAAACGCACCGCCGATCAGGAAAGCTGATCTCGATCAGCTTTCAAGAAGAAGCATTCCCGATCAGGATTTCTGATCGGAATGACCCCTGGGCGGGTGACCGGCTGACCGGTTGACCGGGTGACCGGCTGACCGGGTGACCGGCTGACCGGTTGACCGGTTGACCGGCTGACCGGTTGACCGGCTGACCGGTTGACCGGCTGACCGGGTGAGCTGACCGGCTGACCGGCTGACCGGTTGACCGGCTGACCAGCTGACCGGCTGACCGGCTGACCGGCTGACCGGTTGACCGGCTGACCGGCTGACCGGCTGACCGGGGCATGTATTCCACCATAATGGAGCTTCGCAGGGTGCCTCAGGGTTCTGCGGCCCCATCGGAAGATAGGAAGTTCTCGCGGGGTGCACTTCCTCGTCCCACTGCGTCGCAGGCAGGCTACCTTGGTGCGGAAAGCTGAGGCATGGCGGCCCCGCGAGGTCTCTCACGCGACGACAGGGAACAGGGCATTCACGGGCTGCCTAAAAAGGAGACCTTGGCGAAGGAGAGCGAGGGCAAGGCCCAGGTCTGCGCAGATCCACAAACGCACCATTCGAGTGAGACGAGTTAATCTGGGACAGTAGAATGTGCCAGGGGGCCCTCAAAGTCGAACCCCTTACTTTTGAGCGAAATGTGGTTCGACCGGACGAGTGCGAGAATTTCAGGTGGGGACCCAAATTTTGACGCAAAGACATGTTGTCCCGTAAGCCCTGGAGACAGCAGACAATTCATTGGGTAGCACAACAACGGGGGTCCTTACCATTCTCGAACTCCTTCATCTCGAGCTTGAGGACGATCGACTGCAAAAGAGCAACAAAAGAACTGGAGACACCAATCCCCATCAACAACAGCCCCACGTGAACCGAGCGAGACCGAGGAACGCATGCTGGATCATCTGGATCGGCTGCCCCCGGGCTTCTCCCCGAGCGTGAACCGGAAGAGGGGGGGATGGAGGATCCGACTGGCTCTGCGAGGACGGTGGGGACGACAACGAGGTCGACGAGAGGCATGGGGGATGGAACGCCAGAGCCGAGGAATTGAACAGGGGGAGGGAGCGTGGGAGGGAGGGAGGAACTGGAGCGTGAGGCCACGAAAGATGAGCCAACGAATGAGGAGAAGCATCAGGAGAGCCAGCGGCGGCAGCGGTAGCGGCCGCAGTGAGAGGGCCAGGATCGGGAGGGGCTGGCGGAGGTGGAAAAGCAAATATCCCGATGAGCTAGGGGGCAGAACAGGATAAAGAGTTGAGGAAGGTACAGGAGGGGGATGAGGAATGGGGAGGGGGATAGGTAAAGGGAATGACGCACGATCGTGAACATGCTGTGCAAGAGCAGGGGAATGGAGACGACGCGGAGCACAGGGAGGGGAGGACGAGGACGTGGAGATTGATGCGGAGGAGGAGCAGGAGGACGACGGCCGACGAGGAGGAGGAGGAGGAGGAGGAGGACAAATAATGATAAAAGAACATGTGCAGGCAGATGGCAAACAAATAAAGGGAAGGCAAACGGTCTCGCAAGAAGACAACGGGTCCTGGAGGAAAAGGGCCTCTGGCATTATTTCATCACCTTCGAGGCCCTGGGTCCCTCAGCGGGCCCAGGGGCGGTCAGACAACCACTTAGGATGTACAGCTGGTCCTTTCAGGACCCGAGCTTTAGGTCGGGCCTGTCCCCCTACAGGGGGAATCTGGGCGACAAATCAAACAATACTAAAACAATGCCCCTCGAATTCGCCGGCCCAACGGGCCAGAGGCGTGCTAAGATCTCCGGTAACTGCTCAACAATATTTCTAGATCGCGCGCGCGGGGCGGGCCCTGGGGGTCCCCGGACGAAAAGTACCCCGGCAAGGTCCCGGCAGACTCCCGGCAAGGTCCCTTTTCGGAGCCCAGGAGGGCTCCAGACAGTCCAAGAGGGGCCCGAGAAGCCCTCCAGACGGTCCAAGAGAGCCGGGAGACGCCGAAATATCACTCCCAAACGCCTGTGATGGCCTCAAGACGGCCCAACAGGCCTTCAAGACGCCCCAAGAGGTCTCTAAGCGGCGCCCCAAGAGGGCTCGCACAAGCAAAAATCGTCCCATTCCTTTCGGAAAGCGTGCATTTTTAACATATCCGCCTCTTCGTCTTTCACACCTTTCAAGGCGGTCCAAGAGGCCCCCAAGATCACCCCAAGACGGCCCGAGAGACCCTCAAGACCGCTCAAAGACGGCCCAAGAGCGCTCCAAGAAGGCCCAAGAAACCCTCAAGAACTCTTTTTCGGGGAGACGCCGAAATATCACTCCCAAACGCCTGCGATGGCCTCAAGACGGCCCAACAGGCCTTCAAGACGCCCCAAGAGGTCCCTAAGAGGTCCCTAAGCGGCGTCCCAAGAGGGCTCCCACTAGCAAAAATCGTCCCATTCCCTTAGGAAAACGTGCATTTTTAACATATCCGCCTCTTCGTCTTTCACACCTTTCGAGGCGGTCCAAGAGGCCCCCAAGATCACCCCAAGACGGCCCGAGAGACCCTCTAGACCGCTCAAAGACGGCCCAAGAGCGCTCCAAGAAGGCCCAAGAAACCCTCAAGAACTCTTTTTTCGGAGCCCAGGAGGGCTCCAAATCGGTCCAAGAGGGGCCCGAGAAGCCCTCCAGACGGTCCAAGAGAGCTGGGAGACGCCGAAATATCACCCCCAAGCGCCTACGATGGCCTCAAGACGGCCCAACAAGCCTGCAAGACTCCCCAAGAGGTCCCTAAGCGGCGTCCCAAGAGGGCTCCCACAAGCAAAAATCGTCTCATTCCCTTCGGAAAGCGTGCATTTTTAACATATCCGCATCTTCGTCTGTCACACCTCTCAAGGCGGTCCAAGAGGCCCCCAAGATCACCCCAAGACGGCCCGAGAGACCCTCAAGACCGCTCAAAGACGGCCCAAGAGCGCTCCAAGAAGGCCCAAGAAACCCTCAAGATGGTCCAAGAGGCCCCAAGACGGCCCTATGATTGAGGTCCACAGGGGCAACCTGAACGGAAATTTTGAGCCTCCCGCCCAAACACGCCCCCGAAATGCCCCTACAAGCCCCCAAATAGCCCCACGAAGCCCCCAAGAGAGCCCCAAGAGGCCCCCAACAGGCCGCAAGAAAGCCCCAAGAGGCCCCCAAGAGACCCCCAGGAAGCTCCCAGGAGGCCCCCAAGAGGCCAGGCAGACCCCCCCAAGAGACCACCAAGAGGGCCCACCCAGAGCGAAGCTTCCAAGGGCCCCCAAGACCCTCCAAGACCCCGCGATGGCACAATACGGGCCGGCGGAATGAGCGAAGCGATTCAATAAGCAAAAATGATCAAAAATCGTCCGCAGACTATCTTTTGACTATTTTTGAATATTCCTCCTGCAGAGGGACGGGCCCGAGCTCTTGAGAACCACTGTTCCTTCACAGCGCGGCGGGGGGGGGAGGGAGGAGATGCCCCCCAAGCCTCTTTGAACACCCTGTACAGTCGGACTCGACCGGACAGGACACGCGAGAGGACACAAGACCCTTCCGAGGGCCACATTGCCACAGGAATGTAGGAAGCATGGGTCGCGAGACACAGGACACAAGGGTACCCTTGATTTGGCAAGGCCGACCTACTACTCTGAGCCGACTGTATTTTCCGAAAAATACGGCAAATGATTTCCGGGAACCTGGTCCTCTTCTCCCCTCTGCCCTTCCAGAGACTCCGGAAACCTGTCAATGAAAAAAAACGGACCAGTCGAGAACCTTCACCTCATCCTCACCTCATCCTCACCTCATCCTCACCTCATCCTTCCTCCCTTCATCCTCACCTCATCCTCACCTCATCCTTCCTCCACCTTCTCCCTCTACCCTCCTCCTCCTCCCCCTCCTCTTCCTCTTCTCCTCATCGCCGTCCTCCTCCCATCCCTGCCTCTGCCCTCCGCTCAAATCAACATTTGCGACGCACCCCTCACACATTTCGTGGCCCCATAGGGAGCTCCACCGACGGCCCAAATGGTGCCACCCGCATGCGCCCGCGCTTCCCATTCTGGTACACCCCTCACACGTTTCGTGGCTCCATAAGGAGCTCGACCCAAGGCCCACATGGTGCCGCCAACACGCGTACCCGCCACCCATTTCGGCACTCACCTCACACGTTTCGTGGCTCCATAAGGAGTTTCACCAAAGGCCCACATGATGCTGGCCGCATGCATCCCCGCCACCGATTTCGGCACACCCCTCACACGTTTCGTGGCCCCATGGGGAGCTCCACCCAAGGCCCAAATGGTGCCGCCAACATGCGTCCCCGCCACCCATTTCGGCACACCACTCACACGTTTCGTGGCCCCATCGGGAGCTCCACCCAAGGCTCCACGTGGTGCCGTCCGCATGCATACCCGCCACCGATTTCGGCACACCCCTCACACGTTTCGTGGCCACGCGAGGAGCTTCACCGACGGCCCAAACGGTGCCGCCCGAATGCGTCCCCGCAAACCATTTCGGCCCACCCCTCAGACGTTTCGTGGCCCCATGGGGAGCTCCACCCAGGGCCCCACGTGGTGTCCCCACATGCGTCCCCGCATCCTCCCTCTGCCCTTCTCCTCCTCCGCCGCCTCTTCAATTTCCTCCCTTCCCTCCCGTCCATCCCACCTGCTCTTTCCCTCTCGTCCTCCCTCCTCCCTCCCCCCTTCCTCCCTCCTTCTCCCTCCCCCTCCTCTTCCTCCCTCTCCCCCCTCCACCCCCCCCCCCTCTCCCTCCCCCCTCACTGCTCTTGCCACCGACGGGGACGGGACGAAGTCGACGACGAAGATGACGACGACGGCGGCGACGACGACGGCGGCGACGACGGCGGCGGCGGCGACGACGTCGCTTGGCGGGGCGCAGCCCGCACCGCGGGTCGGCGCGCGGGTGGCCTCGCCACCCGCGCCAACGTCCCTCAGGCCCAGGTTCGCCTCCACGGGGGGGCGCACACTGCGCGCGCGAAGCTGCTGCCGCGGCAAGCTCCTCCCACGCTCCTCGCACTCCTCGCGCTCCTCGCACTCCCGCGCTTCCCTCTCTCCGCACTCTCCACCTCTAGAGTGTTGCATCCCTCGTGCCTGGCTGTACTGCATAAGCGGCCGTGGCCCAACCCGATTATGCGAGCACGTCTTCGCCCATTTCGCTATACTGCAGCGCGCACCATGGGGCTCGTGAGCTTCATTAGAGGCCTCCTGGATGGGGGCCGAATAGATGGGGTCGGAAGATCGCGCCGCATCGCCACGCATCGCCGATGCGTCGGCGATGGGTCGGCGACGCATCGGCGACGTCGGCGTGGAGAACATCGAGCTTGACATCCAGCCGCATCGCCGATGCATCGGCAATTCGGCGCGATCCTCGGACCCCACCTGCTCGGACCCCATCTGGGAGGCTGAGATAGAGGGAGCATGGACCGCGAAGGAGGCCGAGTCGCGTCGAGTCAACACACCCTGTTCAACGCCCTCCTCCCCACGGGGGGAGGCGAAGGTTCCGCACCAAGCCCCCCGGGCCTCCGCGGCCAGCGCTGGGCGCGCCACGGTCAGCGTCGCCCGCTCGAGCCTGGGGCCGTGGCGGCGGCGGCTGACGCCGACGGCGAGCGGCGGCGCCTACGGCGGCGGCGACGGCGCGGGCGGCTGCGCGGAAGGCGGCGGCGGCTGCATCTCCTTCCTTATCCCTCCTCCCTCCTCCTCCCTCCTCCTCCGCCTCCCTCCTTCACTTCCATCCCCCCTCTCGCGCCGTCGAGACTGTGACCCTCCCCCCTCCTCGTGCATCCTCTGTCTCCTTTCCTTATATAGTGCTCCTCCCTGTCGCACCCCCAGACGTGTCGGTAGGGCGAGCCGGGCGTTTCGCCTGAGACTTCCCCACGAGGGCGGGCCGTCTTCAAAACGTGGCTCTCGCCTGAGCGCCGCGCACAGTCGTCTTAACAGTTTGTAGCAGCTTCAAGCATGGAGGACAGGCAATTTTCAGCATGGGCCTCTCGCTTTAGCGCCGCGCACATAGCTTGCAGCAGTTTCAACAATGGAGGGCGGGCAACTCAAATCATGAGGGTCGCGCATCAGCACCGCGCGCATTCCTCGAAAAAATGTGTAACGGCTTCAACGGTGCAAGGCGGTTCTTTTTCACACTGTGGGGGTAAAAATAACTCTTTCCGTCAAAACGTCGGAAAAGTACCCCGGCAAGGTCCCGGCAAGGTCGGGTCAGAGATGCCGGAGTTCTGTTACAGGGCCCCAGGACGGGCCAAGAGGTCCCCAAGAAGCCTCCAAGACGGTCCAAGAGGGCCCCGAGACGGCCAAAGAGTCGAAAACAAGCTGGCAAGCTTAGGTATGTGGTCCGCCTTAGGCGCTCCCATATCCCAGGCTTTGGCTCATATCGCATGAGCAAGAGAGCGAGACGAAGCATGGGATCTGGAGTAAAGGATAGGATGGGCATCGTCAATGGAAAAGGTATTTTCCGATCTCTGATGCAAGTCGTGCGCCTCAGTGAGGCACAGTCATATATCTGGCCGGGCCCGGCTTGAGCCAGGCACGGCAGCGGTACATGCTCGATTTATACCTCGCCTTTAACCTTCTCCGTTTAAAGTCGGAGGGGGAGGAGACGAGCAGGTACCGCACTTCTACACTATGCGGAAAAACAGTGCTAAGCAGCAGCGGCTGCCTACAAGGAAGGGGCGCGCGAGTAGCCTCGCTACCGGCGAGTTTCCTCGCTACTAAAGCGCACCTGCCCGCGGGTTTCCCCGCTGGCTCGGGAGGCAGGGCCGTCCTCAGACGACCTGCCCGCCCTATACGGTGTATGTTTCTTCAGCTCGTGCTTGAAGGATTGCTGGCCGGCCATTACTTGTAGGAGCAACGCGCGGTCAATACTACCTTTGGTATGACCATCGGCAGTCATATCCCGCGTGTCACACCATTGGACGCTTTCCACGATTCCGCGTTCCATCATCTGGCGGATCCAGCTGATGTGCCCAAGCAGAGTACATTCTGTGGGCTTCTTCAGATCTTTGCTAGACAAAGACTTGAAGACAGACTCGGCATCAATAGTCAGAGTGACTTTGATACATAGACCACCCATTTCCAATATGTTCTTTAACTGTGTGGGGGTCAATGGTCCCGAGTGTAGCTCGTGGAGCGTTACAATGGTCGGGTAGCAGTCTTCCAAGTTGTGGGCTGCTGCCAGTGTTTCCGCAGAGTAGCTCGAACGCACCTGCAGTCGATGAGACTTGCAGTATGCGTCCACCAGGTGCACGACGGGTTTCCCCGCTTGCGTGTGGCCACGCCTCAGCAGGTTAGCCCCGCGGATACCATAGCCTTTGACTTCGTCGTCTTCATCTCCGTTGAGACGACGATAGCCAGAATCGCTATGCAGGTCGACTTCTCCTGTTGGGGTCATAGCTTGATACACGATCTTCTTCGGACCTGCCTGTAGCTTTCTGGTAACCGCGTTTAGTCGTCGTACCTGGATGTTTGTCGGTTCCTGGATACGTTGTAGTGAGACAACATAGACCATCAGCCATACCTGCGTGATCAACGCATAGGCTAGAGCGCCACGAAGACTGACGAACATGTCAGAAATCGTCTTTGTCGCTTTGCTCTCAGGATCAGCTCCTGTGAGCTCTGGATGTGTGATAGGACGAAGCTGTTTGATGTATTCGTCCTGATCAAGAGTGACGCTCCCATCATCGGTCTTGTTGTACCGAACGGCACAGTTTGTGTATGTGTGCTTGTTCAGTTTGCACTTCCCAAACGTATCTTCAACACACTTGACATACTTGTCAATAGCCTCTTCCTTCCCAGTCATATTGATGTCATCAACGTGCTTGGCTGTCAAGAGGTTTGGGCTCATCTCGAACTCTTCGTCGTATGAAGTAGGCTGTAGCCCAAAGCTCCTAGTGATGGACCTGAGCTTCAGCGAGAATGCCCTGGGAGCATCCTTCGTGCCCGTCCCCGGTTTCAGACACCGGAGACAATGCTTTGATTCGTCATATGACTCAAAGCCTGGCAGTGTGCGAAGGACAGCTGCTGACCCAGGTGGTAGTGTGAAGCACACCACACGCTCTTTCTCGCCCGTTGCCGCGGCGAGCTCGCCATAGGTCAGTCCCTTCAAGAAAGCCATGTTGATGTCCAGGGAAGCGATGATCCAAGCTTTGTTGCATGCAGCAGAACTTGCGAGCAGTCTCTGGCTTGACCTCCTTGCCGCGCCAGAGAAGGTTTCGACATCAAAGGCTTCAAGGTCCATGAAGCCACGGAGTACCAAGCGTAACCTGATCGTCCTTTCCATTTCGCCCTTTTCGTTCTTGACAAACTTCCATTTGTATACGTAGCGTGACGTCATGATGTTAGACGCCTTGCTTAAGTCAGTCATCTGGAAGCATTTGTTGTCAAGCCAAGTCTTCAATTCTGTGTAGAGGGCTTTGGAAACTTTGACCGGATTTGCTTGGATGTCGGCCTTCGTGAGTAGATCGTCTTCCTTGACGACCACGGCACGTTTGGAGGCAGCGCTAACGTATACTCGCATAGTTGTGACGCTGCTGTCATCCAACAATCGGTGTTGCTGCTCGGACAGGACGACTTTGGACATGTCTGCAGTGAAGCAGAGCTCGATGTACTTCCCGTGCTCATCGGAGTCCAGATCATATTTGCTATCCGGATCCGTGGAGCATAAAGGAACGTAGTAAGAAGTGTCCATGTCGTATCCTGGCGGGTGACCCCGCTCCGGCAAGTGGCCTTGCACATCTTCACAGGTCGTAGAGACTAACACACACTGTGTGTCTGTCATGTATGTGGGAACTGTATGCATGACTTCCTCTGTGTCAGCTTCAAGGAGTGTTCTGTCATCCATCAGTTCAGCATACCACGACTTCAAGACAAAAGCATCCAGATCTTCTTCTGTTTCCTCTATGATGGTCGGGAGCCGACCATCGTTATCCGTAGGAGGCTCCTCAGGAGCAGCTGCTGGAGGTGATTCGCTTGGTGGTGGACCATCAGCGAGTTCCTCAAACTTAGTGAGGTCTTGGTCAAATCCAGCAGACGGCTTCCTGGATTTAAGACACTGGATGATGCGTGAGTGTGTAGATCCTGTGATGTCATAGATGTTCAAGGCAGTGCCATCAGCTTCATAGTAATGAAAACCAGGGGTCACATCATTATCATAGTGCACTAGTGTACAGCTGTCTGCATAGGGTGCAGCAGGCAACTTCGTCAGGCTCTTGGCAAGTCGTACAGCAACAACGTTTTCAATACGAAAGTAGTTGCGTATGAGGTACTGAAGAGCCAAGTGCACCTTAGGCGAAAGTCGGCTCGCAGCAGTCATCTGCAGCCGACCCTGTTTCGCTGGTAGATATCCGAAAGTCATGGCGGGTTTCCCCGCTGGCAGACCGGCAATAAAGGCCAATACTGTCCGAAGGGCCGTATTGTCCGATCCTATCTCGCGGACCATAAGTGCTTCGATGTACAGCGTGTGTCGTGTGTCAGGATACTGTACTCGCACTTCGCGACTGCCGACCTTCACGATGACCTGGCCTCGGTCAGGTTCGTTGCGGATGACCGGGTATGGACCACTCCATCCACCCCAGTCGTCTTTCGTGGTGGTCGGGCGATGATAGTCCACGAGATCTCCCTCTTTGTAGTGAAATTCACCCGTAGCAGTAGTCTTCGTACGGAGAGCCCTGTTCGTCTTGGCAACCGCAGTGGCCTGCGTGATTGCCTCCAGACTAACCCTCCTGATTGTTTCCTCCCTTGAGTGATCTGATGATTCAGCGGACTGATCATGATCCAAGACAGGGAAATCAGGAAGCATAGCTGGTTGTCTGCCATACAGCGCATTGTACGGAGACACTTCATTGTAGAAGGTAAATGCGTTGCTGGCAAACAAGGCTTCATGTAAGAGACGAGTGAAATTGAGAGGAATATTTAATCTATTCAATTCTTCTCCCATCACGTGTAAGAGGTGTCGCAGGATGCCGTTCCTAGCTTCGATAGTTGTAGCGTGTTGGCCACGCGCTCGAATACGAAGCTCTGTTCCCTTAGCCTTAAGGATGGCCTTTGCTGTATCATTATTCAGTGCTCCTTCCCCATCGGAGTATAAGATTTTAGCAGGGCCATGTTGCATCCAAGTCGTATGATAGGCATCGAGAACAGTATGCATGGCTTTATCAGGAATCTCTGTGCCAGCTGCCCAGCGAATACAACGGTCGATGATGTGAAAAACAATATGTTCCTGTTTGTAAAAGAAAAGATCACATTCGACTTCCTCGTTGAAACGTCCTGGCAGTGACACAGAAGGCATCACCGTGTTGCCTGGTTTGTCCCAGGCTCGACATTCTCTACACGAGTCACAAATGCCTTTGATCAGACTCAAACGGGTTTCACCCAGACCAACCTTGGTTAGAATCATCCGCATTTTTGGCTCCTTGGCATGAAACCATCTCAGGTGGAGTTTGCGGAGTTCTCGCTGCACTACAGCTGGGTCGAAGCTGCGCAGGTTTTGGAGGCTGAGCTGAACGTCGAAGCGAGTCCAATCAGGGAGCCTTGGCCTTGGCCTCGGCTCTGCTTGAGGCTGCGGCG